GCGGCGTACCGGACCGCAAACGGCCACAGAAAATGGGGGGCAGCCGCATGGATCATGGAGGTACGAGCGACCTCCATGACTAAGCCAATGCGACGCTCAGCAACCCCATTCTGCTGCGGAGAGGCCGGAAGCGTGAAAGTCTGGCGGATGCCGTGCTCCGCACAGAAGGCTGCCAAGAGGTCTGAGGAGAACTCACCACCTCTGTCAGAGTGCAGACGCAGGACAGGAAAGTCCGACTGGAACCGCTCGTGGAGCTGGATACGAGTAGCGCGGATCCAGGGGATCAAAACATCAGGGACATCCCCCTTGCACTGCAAGGGGAAGACCGTGGTGTAGCGCGTGTAGTCGTCGACAACCAGCAGGAAATACCGCTCGTGGCCCTGTCCACGGACGCGGGCTGGGCCCCACACGTCTAGGTGGAGAGTCTGCAGTGGAGCCTCTGTGGGAGGGAAGGAGGAGGAGTGAGGAGCGGCGCGCTGCCGCCCCTCGACGCAGGGAATGCAGGGCGGCGCAGGCGAGGGAGGGAGGGGAGGCAGGAAGCCCAGAAACCAGGAAGCGGGAGTGCATGCTGCGTAGGCGAGGCAGGGAGGGGTGACCAAGGCGGTGGTGCCACAGGAGAGTGTCGTGGGACAGCCGGCGACACTCACACTGTGTAGCTACCTGAGCAGACGCATGCAACTGGGGAGACAAAGGGGCGGAGCGTGACGCAGTGGTGAGGGTGTACAGACTGGACCCCGGCGCACGAGCGAACGTGGCCAGGTGGCGACCAGTCTGGGAGCACGTGCAAATCGCCACACGCTGCCGGCCAGGGGTGAAGGTGTCAACCCCCGCATCCTGGAGGACAGCGTTACTCACCAAGTTCGTAGAGAACGAGGGGAGGTGGAGACCAGACAGCTCACCAGACGGGACCGCCGGACACGGAAGCACAGTGGAAGACCGTGCAAGCACTGGGCCCCCAGAGGGGTCAGCCAGTGAGACAGGAACAGGTGCAGGGAGGGGAGTGACTGTGGTACTGTCGCGAAAGAAACAGCGGGAAGCACCAGAGTCAAGTGTAAAGGTGTGCAAAGCCTGTGCAGGCGCAATACCAAGGGGAGCAGACTCACAAGCACCTAGTGCTGCAGGGGCTATACCAGGGGTTATACCAGGATCCGGTGGCACACACAAGTAGCAGTCACCCTCAGCACTAACAGATAAGGCATACATAGCAGCAAGAATTGCCTCATAGTCAAGATCAAAGATAGGTACATCACGCCTAAGTAAGTCTGCCCAGTTGGGGAACTCAGTAGCATCAGGAAACTTGGCGCGCCAGGCGTCGCTAAGCCGAGCGAAGCAGCGCTGCTCAGTGTGAAAACCTGTGCACTGGCGACCAGCGCGGGGACCTGTGCGGATGATATAGGGGCAGCGACCAGGACCCCCAGAAGCCCCACGCCCGGCATACCAGTCAAGAAGCTGCTGGGAAGTGGGGGTCTGGCGCTGACGCTGATGCTGCTGCTGCGGCTGCTGCTGGCCCTGACCACCAATGCCACTACCGCTCCCTCCTCCCCCCCGCCGCTGTTGCCGCCTCCACCGCTCCCAGTGCCTCCGCCGCCCCCACCACCACCTCCACCGCCTCCACCCCCACGACCACCCCCACCACCTCCACCTCCCCCGCCGCCTGCACCACTGCCACCTCCACCGCCACCCCCACCGCCCCTGCCACCCCTGCCGCCCCTGCCGCTGCGACGCTTCCCACTAGGAGCGGAAGCAGCTCCGACCCCCTCAGCACCAAGGTAGTCGTGAGCAGCAGCTGCGGAGGCGTAGGAGGGGGTGAGAGGGAAGGGGGAGCACCCCTCAAAGAGGGGAGAGCGAGGAGTGCCACGAGCAGCACCTACAACGAGGATGTTCTTCTCTGCTGTGAGGAGGTGCTTCTCGAAGTCGTCTACAGTGAGAGTGGTGGGGTCTAGCGCTAGGAAGTAGTCCCGGACAGAGCTAAGAGTGTCAGGGAGGCGGGTGACGAGGAAATAGAGAGTGAAGTACATCGGGGGGGGGGGGGGGGGTTTGCGGCGCAGAACTCGGCTGAAAGGGCGGCACGAAAGCGAGAGTCAGTAGCGCGCAGGTGAGAAACTAGGTCCTCAGCAGTGGTGAACGAGGAAAGATCGGGGAACAGATACGGTAGCATGATTCGACCTATGGCTGCAGTGGCCGGGGAGGAGTAGCATGCAACTACAGCGTCGTACAGTGTCTTAGTAGTTCTGTGCTGGCTGAAATGTGCTCGCTCAGTAATCGGCAGGTGGTTCCTAATAGCTAGGCGTGCAGCAGCATCATGAGTCTGCCACTGGGAGCGTTCTAGAGCAGGAGCATCAGCAGCAGGAGCAACGGCAGTGCCAGAGATGTAATCAAACAGGGAAACGCCATCTTTGGCATCAGTCAAAAGGAACAGTTGGAGATCGTCTAACCATACAGTGAACTCGATGGGACGACCGTCAGGCTCGAACGCTAGAACGTTAGGCGTCGCCATATTGGCTTAAGGCAGGAGGCAGCAGGCAGCAGGCAGAGGCAGCAGGCACCAGGTAGGAGGCAGGAGGCAGAGGCAGGAGGCAGGGGCAGCAAGCAGCAGGCAGGCAGCAGGCAGGCAGCAGGCAAGCTGCAGGCAGGCGGCAGCAGGCAGCAAGCAGGCAGGCAGGCAGGCGGTAGGCAAGCGGCAGCAGGCAGCAAGCAGGCAGGCGGCAGCAGGCAGGCAGCAGGCAGGTTGCAGGCAGGCGGCAGGCAGGCGGCAGCATGCAGCAAGTAGCAGGCAGTCAGCAGGCAGCAAGTAGCAGGCAAGCAGCAGGCAGGCAGGCTGCAGGCAGCAAGCAGGCAGCAGGCAGGCTGCAGGCAGGCGGCAGCAGGCAGCAAGCAGGCAGGCAGGCAGGTTGCAGGCAGCAAGCAGGCAGCAGGCAGGCTGCAGGCAGGCGGCAGGCAGGCGGCAGCAGGCAGCAAGTAGCAGGTAGGCAGCAGGCAGCAAGTAGAAGGCAGGCAGCAGGCAGGCAGCAGGCAGGCGGCAGCACGCAGCAAGCAGGCAGGCAGGCAGGCTGCAGGCAGCAAGCAGGCAGCAGGCAGGCTGCAGGCAGGCGGCAGGCAGGCAGCAGCAGGCAGCAAGTAGCAGGCAGGCAGCAGGTAGTAAGTAGAAGGCAGGCAGCAGGCAGGCAGCAGGCAGGCTGCAGGCAGGCGGCAGCAGGCAGCAAGCAGGCAGGCAGGCAGCAGGCAGGGAGCAGGCAGGCTGCAGGCAGGCGGTAGCAGGCAGCAAGCAGGCAGGCTGCAGGCAGCAAGCAGGCAGCAGGCAGGCAGCAGCAGGCAGCAAGTAGCAGGCAGGCAGCAGGCAGGCAGCAGGCAGGCTGCAGGCAGGCGGCAGGCAGGCGGCAGCAGGCAGCAAGTAGCAGGCGCGGCCTGAGGGCTGCGTGAGGCTGCTGGCTGCGTGTGGCGACTTGCTGCACGAGGCTACGGGCAGCGCGCGCGGGCGCAGGCTGCGTGCGGCGACGGACTGCGTGGGCTGCGGGCTGCGCGTGGCGACAGGCAGCGTGCGCGGCTGCAAGCTGCGTGCGTTTGCGGGCTGCGCTGGGCGACGGGCCGCACATGCGCGGCTGCGGGCTGGTCGCTAAATGCGGGCTGCGCTGGGCGACGGGCCGCGCTGGCGTGACCTATCCAGAATGCGCGCGGGCGGCTTAAGGGGCGCACAGGTGGGGCCGAAACGGGCTGCGCGGGCTGCTGAAACGGCGCACATGGGAAACAAAAATGGATCGCCCGAGGCGCGCGCAGGCAGCCGAGGCCTGCGTAGGCACTAGACGAGGCAGGCAAGCGTGGTGGGCCCTAATCCTAGGTCCTAAGGACCTATGCTCTATACCATGTTAGAATCTTACGGGAAAAGTGGGTGTCGACTATCGAGGGAAAAAGTACAAAGGAGAAACCTAAGGGGTTGTACCCCACAGTGAGTACCCCACTAAGCAACCTATAACATATATACACATATGTTTGACAAAGAGGTGCACCACCTATAAAGTTAATATCTACACTACAGCTAGAACTACATGCAGATATAAGAATATAATTCTGACATTAGCGAGTCAACCCTCGGAGGTTGAACAACTGCTGGAGTATATGCGAAAGTCAAAGGTCAGCGACTTTTGACCTGACAAATACAACGCGACAGCAAGGACAAACAACTGACTCGGTATTGAGCAGTTGTCCGAGTCGTCACTGTATCGAACCGCAACAGCAACAGCAAAACGGTTATTAACTGTATCTCTTCGTATTCCATGTATTCTTATAAAAGCTTGTATCCCTTTGTTTTAATCAATCTACTTTGCCCTCACATACTAGCGCAAGGTGGTTCACAAAGTTCTCATTTAAACGCTTCCGCTATTACATTGTCCTACTTATAATTTAGTCCTGCAAAGATCCTAAGGGCTTTTCTCAGCCCAACAGAAACATCTTGTCAGATGTACTTGCCGGTTTGCAGTTGTGTGCGAACTTGAAAGTTGGATGACGTGGCACGCTGCGACCCAACCGCGGGCATCAATTTGTGACGTCCCATGAGAACCGAGATCCGTTTATTATGTGACATTGCCACATCAGCGCAAAACACATTGCACAAAACACAAACTCAACAACCCACGTAGTCTCAACCAAGCCTTAAATAAAAGCACGCACAAAACATCAAGAGAAGCAACAACCATTACTTTTGATTGTATATTTACTTTTCCCTTACCATGTTTCGGGCCCAATGAGAAGCCAGTTGTATTATTTTGTAGCGGGCCCTGCTCTGATTGTGTCTGATTTCAAGTGCTTGTCAAGACGCTATTTGTTGTACATGCAGTTGCCCTGTATGGATCTAGCTTATTCAGTATCTGCCAGACAAAACGAGTACATAGCAATACCCCACTTTCAGTACACCTCTCCTCAGTGAAAACAGAGGGCACGAATCCTGAGTGAGATTAATGTCTAGAGAGAGAACCAAGGTTACCGCCTGCTATATCAAGAATAAATTACTCTCCCCACTTGACTCCCTGGTACCACGGAGGGCGAATCACAGTGTCCACGCCATGCACTATATTGATCTTCCCAGCAAAGAGGTTTTTCCTCACAATCTTTCCCGTGTATTTAGCTCCAATTGACGCCCCCAAACGCACCACTCCCAAAGGCGCACGTACATTCAGTATCTTCATTTGATAGTTTAAAGTCACCATCTGTAACGGGCAGGGGGTTGACGAGATGTCAAGAAGCGAAAGGAGAAGGCCTTTATTGGTAATTATAATAAGAAACGTACTCCAATTTTCAAGGCAATGTTGATCCACAAGAACCATATGAGAGAGCCCGGAGGAAATGACACAGCATACGAGAGAGCAAAACGAGCGGTTGAGATGCGCAGAAATTACAGGTAGTGTTAAAGGTAGATCATAAGGGTTCTATAAACGGAGTCGTGACGGTGTGCAAATTGAGCAGTACGGAGTGCATCTACAGTGAAAGCTCAGAATAGCGCAGTTCTATCCCCGTCCGTCCGTCAGAAGTTCTTGTAGAAAAAAGGGACGAAACAGCAGACTTGCTACAGGCGATTTTTCCACGTCAACGCGTGTGCAAATCGGCCAACTTTAGGGAAACAGCCGACGCCACATTGATACGTGATTCCTTAACTTAGCTAGATGATACATACACACAAATGACGACGTGGGTCTGTGATCCTAAAGCGTATGCTGTACCGGATTAACGAATTCTCCGTTGTTTTTGTTTTCTTCTGTATTTTGAAGCGTAACAGCTAGAACATACCTCAGTGCCGGTCTTGTAACTCAGCATCTCCTTGAACGCTCTACGGCCCACGATAAAGTGGTAACCAACGATCTGCGCAGCCTTTCTCGGGTTCGCCATGTCCTTTTTCGCGGAGTCCGTATTCCAGGCGCTATCGAGCGGCGCAAGAACCGTCACGTTCCAGTCATTAAGAACCGGTAGAAGACTCTTAACGAAGCCGGTCGATTCAAGGTAGCCGTCGAATTTTTTGCAGTTCTTGGATTTGAGCGCTCCGCGAATCGCGGCGAGCTGCTCCTGACCATTATACTTCGCCGCTTCGCATGTGATAAGAAGTGAAGCCGCTAAGGCGAGAACAAGTACAGTCACTTGTCGAGCAGCCATTGGTGAATGCTAGCGACTGTCCACTACTCGATAATAGGTCCAGATATGGTACGCGCTGATTAGGACGAGCTGCTTGCGTCCAGTTCAATATTGCGTGCAAAAACTAAAAGCTCTGCTAGAAAGAGTGCATGCGCTACCGGCGTTATGATGAGCCTCGCAAAACCAAGAAAAGCAGGCTGAATGCGCGGAAGCAAGCAGAAAGAAACACCCTAGAGAATGGTGCCGAAACGGTCAGAAATGGAGCTAGGCAGATCGGAAAGCTGGTGTGTCTTAGGGCTGTTCCGCTCTACTTTCTTGCTCGAATTTCACATGTCCCAGTGCGGATCATGGACACAGAACCGAAGCATCACCATTTTGAATCACTCCGCAAAAAACCAAAACGTAGAACGTCCAAGATATCCCCTGATGGCATGAACACCCTGGAGGAATCAGGGACGGGGGAAAAGGAAGGAGGTGAGTGGGGGAAATGGTAAGGACGGTAACATGCTGTGGCGGCAGAACCTCTGACGATACAGTGCGCGAAAATGTAACGAGTGGTGAACTTGACTCGACGAAATTATTAAGTTAGGGATTGAGCGAAAATTGCGAAGGCCCGTTAGAGACTAGCGAGCTCGACGAGTCGCAGGTGTTCCTCCACCGACAGCTTCCAGGCATTCAGATGGGAACCGCATTTCGCGCCAGATAGATAACCTGCACCATCAAATTGAGGGCGCCTTCCGAACCCATAAGTACTCGGGAACTCCTTGCAATCTCTACTCGCTCGCCCTGGTAACAGCAACCTACAACATCTCCATAACCCTCCAGGAGTGAAAGGAGCATTATTTGTTCGTGAATATCGACACCAGCGAAGCGACTGCAGAAGCCATTTTGTGCGACTGAGGACGATCTCGGTCCTTGCAGCCAGCATTTTCCAGAGGGTCGAGTTCGCGCCTGGGCGCATCTTGAGAGTACACTCGTTTTAGCCAGGTCCGTTCAAAGCCGGATTCCAAAAGAAGTGTCTAAGTTAGTGTAGTTTGTGTTGTGACGAATCTCCTCTCCTATTCACCTATCACTCTGTACAATACAAATGTTTCAGTATCAATACTGTTTGACTGAACATGCATGATTATTTTTAGCATAAAAAAAACAGCTAGTACATGACACAACGGAGACTATATTCTACCACATTTCTAGACAAAGTATGAGGGCCTAGTTACTGTATCTACCCCATGAACAACATCGAGCGGGCCAACGTAGAGGTCTTTCCTAACAATTTTTCCAACGTATTTGGCTCCCATTTTAGGGCCCAGGCGGACCTGTCCATGTTTGGCTTGAAGGTTCTGAATCTTCTGGCGATAGTTCAGTGTGGAGAACTGGAAAAGAAATCAACAAAAGGGAGGGCGACAAAAAGCAAGCAGTTTTGAGCAATTGATGTCCAATACGTGAAATTCAGAGGTGAAACTATTCTAACATCTCACCTGGGTTCCGCTTTTGTATTTGAGCAGCTCCGCGAAGCTGTGTTTGTCAATGAAGAAGTGATAACCAATGATCTGAATCGCATGCCTGGGATTCTTCATGTCTTTCCTCGCCGAAACCGTGGCGAAGGCAGTGTTCGTGGGCGCAAGGATAGTCAGCTTGTATTCCTTCATAACGTTAAGCAAAATCGGCATGAACCCTGTAATTGAGAGCCACAGAAAAGGTCAGATTTCTGTCAACTCTCGGACAGAGGGCGAATTCTAAATACTATCAGTGGCGCTACAATCTCCGACTCTTCTTGAGATAATTACCAGTAGAGTTTATGTATTTATCGAACGTCGTGAAACCCCCTCGTTTGAGCGCTGCTCGAATTTTTGTCAGGTGCGCTTTAGCATTGTACTTAGCTTTCCCAGCCGCGCTCACAGGAGCTGGAACGAGGGAGAGAACGAGTAGCGAGATGCATGCAGCCACGAGGAGGTGCTTTGGACTAAGTTGCATCATCTTGATTGAGTGGTTCTAAGGTGATCCGTTTTACTATACTCAAGCAGTAGTAAGCAGCTGCAAATGCCAGTATTTATAGATTTGGTGGATCGTGGATGGCGAGATATGTGTTGATCGTCAGTTTCATATTTTGCGCCAATAGTTGCGTCTGCGAGACGGGGCGTTACGAATTTGCACCTTCGAGGGGTTTGCTCGGGTGAAGGTTTCCTGGGCTGGTGAGTGAAGTGTGTTGGGCGGTGCGTTCAGCTGTGGTGGTTGTATGTCGGCCGCTCATCCGTCAGGTTTCACGTAACGGACGACTAAGATCAAACAGATTACTCAAATTTGTCGGTTGGATCTGGGTTTGACAAATTTGGCTGGTGTTTCGCGTCGGCAATGTCATTCGAACGGGCTTGTTGGAGGGACGTCAGGCAGGCTGTATTGCGAACACTTGTGCCAAACCTCACGGTGGGCCAATCAATTGGCAGGAAAGCTCAGGTGCGGTAACGTTGTACCGCATTTTCACCTGGTTCACAGCCCGCAAATAACGCCCCTGAATTCAGATAAGGAATACATTGTATTGATTTTCTTGTATTCAACACAATGCATTGCACTACGTATTTGCGCATAAAGCAACTTTCAGTATTGCGTACAAATCCGAAATCAAGGTTATCTGACAGCATCAAGACAAACCCTCCCACTCAAGTTTTGGCGCGAACAGAGTCTGCAGAAGATGTCAGAGTTCTAGCTAGAGTCTGCTAGTCTTCTAACACATCTAGAACGAAGTCCGTAGAAGTTGTGACGATCTACGTTTAGCTAACTTTGATATCTTGACACCGATCTAGAAACAACTGCCGATTAACAGGTGATCTTGCAAGTTTGCAGAGTAATCGAAAGCCTTCAACGGATCCTGATACTTGTTACATCTTATCAGAATGAACGGAGTCGGAGCTGGTGCTGCTCCGGTGGGAGGGGGTTTCGGTGGTCAAGGGAGGCCGGATTTCCCACGCGCGTCAGCTGTCGACACTCAAGGGGAGAATGTTCAGCGAAGCTTCTTCGACTTCTTGCAGACGTAAGCAACATTGCGTACAGACATTTTTGTATTCTTCCAGGGTTAGTGCATGCCTTAGCGCGTCGTCGCGTAAAGCCGAAAGCGGTCAGCTTTGATCTAGCAAAGTGCTTTTCTGGCGATTATTAAAAAAATCACGGAGCGTTGGGAGATGCTCGACGAAAGGCAGGAATGTCATTACAGGAAATTCACAGGAAATTCATTGCGTCATCCTTTACCAATTCTTGTCAGGAAAGTAAAAAAGGAAGCATGGAGCTGATGGTGATTTTTTTTTCACGGGGATGTGAATCTATGGCTACTACTACTTCGAAAATGGATTTCCCGTTGCTATCTCGCTGAATGACGGCCATTCGCAACTGGATTGTGGTTGTTAAAGTTTGGTTTTCGTTCATGACTGCCTGCCGGCCATGGGGGTCTGGTCTTCAATGTCTGGCTGGATCTGGATGGCCATGTCTGGCTGGATTTGGATGGCGATGTCTGGCTGAATTTGGATGGCCATGTCTGGCTGAGTTTGGATGGCCATTTCTGGCTGGATTTGGATGGCCATGTCTGGCTGGATTTGGATGGCCATGTCTGGCTGAGTTTGGATGGCCATGTCTGGCTGAATTTGGATGGCCATGACTGGCTGAGTTTGGATGGCCATGTCTGGCTGAATTTGGATGGCCATGTCTGGTTGTATTTGGATGGCTATGTCTGGCTGGACTGGACTGGACCCGGATGGCAGTGCGGAGCAGAGAGGCGAGGAGCACGAGGAGGAGGCGGAGGACGGGCCAATGGTGCGTGAGTACGTGGCGCAGCTGCATTCCATGGTGCAGTACGGCAAGACGACCATGTATGTGGACTTCGCCACGCTCATGGCGCACAACCAGGCGCTCGCCACAGCGGTTCTGGAGGAGTTCTACCGGTGAGTAGCGGTGCAGTGCGGTTCATCTATGTTGCATTACGCCAAGACGACCATTCACGTGGATTCAGGCACGTGTCTGCTGCATACACATGTATGCACATGTCTCCATGTACGCATGCAGGTTTGAGCCATTCCTATGCAAGGTGGTGCAGATGTTTGTGCAGGTGCACGAGCCCAAGTACCTTGCACATATTGGATATCAATTAAGTGCCTTATTCTCCGCTCTTGCATGTTCTTGTATGCATGCACATGTCTGCTGCATGCACATGTCTGCTGCATGCACATGTCTGCTGCATGCACATGTCTGCTTGCATGCACGTCATCCATGCTTGCATGCACGCAGGTTCGAGTCGTTCCTGCGCAAGGCGGTGCAGATGTTTGTGCAGGTGCACGAGCCCAAGTACGTGATGGACGAGGGAAAGCCCAAGGAGTTCTACCTCGCCTTCTACAACCTCCCCGTCATCCACAAGTAAGGATCCAGCGTCGCCCCAGGTGTTTTTTCAGGTGCACTAGCCCATTGTCACCTTCCACAAGACTTCCCCTTCTCGTTTTCCTCCCCTATCATGCTCAGAGACACGCAGGTACAGGTGATGGGCCAGCTATACACAGTGAGCAGTGTGGTTGTCCTTTGTTCTCGTCCTCAGCTGTTGTCATCCCTTCCCCCTTTGACCTCATCCCCTCTTATTAACCTAACTCCCCCCCTTTCAGGCTGAGAGACATGAAGGTAGAGGTGCTTGGTCAGCTATCCGCAGTGAGTGGTGTGGTCGTCCGAACTTCCGAGGTCCGGCCGGAGCTGCTGTACGGCACATTCCGATGCTTGGAGTGCGGCGCGGTGCAGCGGAACATCGAGCAGCAGTTCAAATACACTCAGCCCATCATATGCAGTAATGCAGCGTGCTCTAACAGGGAAAAATGGGCGCTCGAGAGAACAGAATGCCAGTTTGTGGACTGGCAGAGAGTCCGGGTACAGGAAAACGCAGATGAAGTCCCTCCTGGGTCGCTCCCCCGCACTCTAGACGTGATCTTACGGCATGAGTTGGTGGAACAGGCACGAGCCGGCGATAAGTGTATCTTCTCCGGGACGCTGGTAGTGGTCCCAGATGTAGCTGCTTTGACCCGCCCAGGGGAGAGGCATGAGGCTATGCGGTCGAATCAGGGGGGGGATGGGAGAGGCGGGGAGGGTGGAGGAGGGGGGGAATTGTTAGGGGGAGGGGGTGGAGGAGCAGGGGGAGGGGGGAGTGAGGGGGTAAGGGGGCTGAAGGCGCTGGGGGTGCGGGATTTGTCGTACCGGTTGGCGTTTTTGGCGTGTTCTGTGCAGTCGGGGGATCAGGAGAAGCAGCTGGTGAATATCCGGGCGGAGGACGAGGAGGGCAGTGCTGTCGCTTCGTTCACGGTACGTTGGAGTGCAGCGCGGTGCAGTGTGGTTTAGTTTCATTCAATGTGGTGCAATGCAGTAGGTTGGTGCAAGGTTTCTGGCGTTGACTTTGCAGTCAGGTCAGGGGACCAGGAGAAGCAGCTGCTAAATATCGACTGCCTTCCCTTTTATCTCACCTTCCCACCCTATCCTGGAAGAATGTGACGAAAAGGCTCGCATGAGAGCACGTGGCAACCTATACGAGCGCCAAATAGCGAGCATGGCACCGTCGGTGTATGGGCATGCAGACATCAAGCGAGCCATCCTGCTCATGCTGTTTGGCGAGAGAGGGGAGTGAGGAGCGGGAAGTCCTCTCATGCCGTTGACTGAGCAATCCCCTCTCTCCTCCTGTCACCACCCTCTATGATCCATCTCCCCCTCTCCCAGCCCGAGGAACGAGAGGAAATGGCGCGTATGAGGGCTGGGGGAAACCTGTACGAGCGCCTGGTGGCGAGCGTGACACCGTTGGTATACGGGCATGCAGACATCCAGCGAGTTATCCGATGCTGTTTGGGGGGAGCTTGTGTGCCTCTGAGCTTGTGTGCCTCTGAGGCGCCTTATAAAATTTCCCCCACCCCTCTCCTCTCTCTCCACCCCGCAGCCTGAGGAGCGAGAGGAAATGGCTCGCATGCGGGCAGGAGGAAACCTGTATGAGAGGCTGGTGGCGAGCGTGGCACCGTCGGTGTACGGGCATGCAGACATCAAGCGAGCCATCCTGCTGATGCTGTTTGGCGGGGTGCACAAGAAGACTCACGAGGGCATCAACCTGAGAGGAGACATCAACGTGTGTGTCGTGGGGGACCCCTCCTGTGCCAAGTCCCAGTTCCTCAAGTGAGTGAGAGAGTGAGGGAGTGAGGGAGTGAGTGAGGGAGTGAGTGGGGGAGTGTTTGGGTGAGTGAGTGAGTGCTGTGTCTGCTCCGAGTGTGAGGGAGGAGAGCGGGTGTGTGCATGGAAGATGGAAGGGCGGTGGGTGTACGGGCATGCAGACATGAAGCGAGCCATCCTGGTGATGCTGTTTGGGGGCTTTGAGACGTCTCAAAACTGTTTGGGGGCGTGCACAAGAAGTCCCACGAGGGGATCATCCTGCGGGGGGACATCAACGTGTGTGTTGTGGGGGACCCGTCTTGTGCCAAGTCCCAGTTCCTCAAGTGAGTGAGTGAGGGAGTGAGTGAGGGAGTGAGGGGGGGAGCGAGTGGAGTGCTCTATTGTGGTGTGTCTGCTGCGAGTGTGAGGGAGGAAAACGGGTGTGTGAGTGGAGGGAGCAGGGGTGGATGGGTGTACGGGCATGCAGACATCAAGCGAGCCATCCTGGTGATGCTGTTTGCAGGTGTGCACAATAAGTGACGGCTTTCATGAAGTGGCTCATAACGAGCGTGGTGAAGGAGCCAGAGACAGGGAAGTAGCCCATTGCCATGCTCTCAGCCCTCTTTCCTCCCTCGCCACTCTCCCTCACTGTCCTCCCTCTCTTCCTCCCTACCCCTCCACCAAGTATGTAGCTGGCTTCCTCCCCCGTGCGGTATACACATCTGGAATATCGAGCAGTGCGGCGGGGCTGACAGCGAGTGTGGTAAAGTTGTCAGAGACGGGGGAGTTCTGCATTGAAGCGGGCGTGTCGTCTTTCTTCCCTCTCTTACCTCCCTCCGTCCTCCGTCCGTCCTCCCTACCCCTCACCACCAGGTACGTGGCTGGGTTTTTGCCCCGTGCAGTTTATACCTCTGGCAAGTCCAGCAGTGCAGCGGGGCTGACAGCGAGTGTGGTGAAGGAGCCAGAGACAGGGGAGTTCTGCATTGAAGCGGGCGCGCTGATGCTGGCGGATAATGGCATCTGCTGCATTGACGAGTTTGATAAGATGGATATCAAAGACCAGGTGAGTGAAGGAGCGGGTGAGTGTAAGGACAATCCTTCATGCGCGCATGTCTAGTCAACACCCAGACTGCCTCTCTCATCACATGCACTTTTGTCTTGCTCTCGCACCCACCCATGCAGGTGGCTATCCACGAGGCGATGGAGCAGCAGACCATCTCAATCACCAAAGCGGGCATTCAGGCCACCCTCAACGCACGCACGTCCATTCTCGCTGCTGCCAACCCCACTGGAGGACGATACGACCGCTCCAAACCCCTCAGGGTAAGCCCCAAATAAGCTTGTTCTCATTATAAGTTGACTCAAAGCAAGCCACCCTCAACGCACGCACATCCATTCTCGCTACTGCCAACCCTACTGGATGACGATACGACTGCTCCAAACCCCTCAGAGTAAGGTCGTTCTGCCACCAGCCATCCTGTCCCGCTTTGACCCTGTGCACGACTACTCAGTGGCCCGCCACATTCTCACTCTGCACCATGGCCTTGCCCCTCTTTCCTTCCACTTACCCCACCCCTCCCCATGACCCCCTCTCCCTCTTACCCATTCCCCATGTCAGTACAATGTGGCCCTGCCACCAGTGCACGACTACTCGGTGGCCCGCCACATCCTCTCACAACTTCCTCCCCTTTCTTCCCCCTCCTTTTCTCCCCCGTTGCAGTGCAATGTTGCCCTGCCTCCAGCGATCCTGTCCCCTTTCTCGTGCATGTCATGCTCGACACGCCAGACCCTGTGCACGACTACTCAGTGGCCCGCCACATCCTCACTCTGCACCATGCCCTCTCTGCCCTTGCCCTCCTTGCCTCCCCTCCCTGCCAGTACAACTTGGCCCTGCCACCTGCAATTCTCTCCCGATTTGACCTCGTCCATGTGATGCTGGACACACCTGATCCGGTGCACAACTACTCGGTGGCCCGCCACGTCCCTGAGTAGTCGTGCACCAGATCAGGTGTTCACCATGCCCTTGCTCCTCTTACCTTCAACTTACCCCACCCGTCCCCTCTTATGATCCCCTTTCCCTAACCTATTCCATTCTTGTCACCAGCCATTCTCTCCCGCTTTGATCTCGTGCATGTGATGCTGGATACGCCAGACCCCGTGCACGACTATTCGGTGGCCCGCCACATATTGAGTGTGCACCAGAGCCGGGACCAGGTCTTACAGCCAGAGTTCTGTGGCATGCCACGTTCTGACCGTGCACAATTCTCTTCCTCCTCTTCTTCCCATTTTTGTTTCAGTACAATGTGGCCCTGCCACCAGCCATCCTCTCCCAATTCCATCTCGTGCATGTCATGCTGGACATGCCGGACCAAGCCACATCACGAGTGTGCATCAGTGCCGGGACCAAGCCACATCACGAGTGTGCATCAGTGCCGGGACCAAGCCACATCACGAGTGTGCATCAGTGCCGGGACCAAGCCACATCACGAGTGTGCATGAGTGCCGGGACCAAGCCACATCACGAGTGTGCATCAGTGCCGGGACCAAGCCACATCACGAGTGTGCATGAGTGCCGGGACCAAGCCACATCACGAGTGTGCATCAGTGCCGGGACCAAGCCACATCACGAGTGTGCATCAGTGCCGGGACCAAGCCACATCACGAGTGTGCATCAGTGCCGGGACCAAGCCACATCACGAGTGTGCATCAGTGCCGGGACCAAGCCACATCACGAGTGTGCATCAGTGCCGGGACCAAGCCACATCACGAGAGTGCATCAGTGCCGGGACCAAGCCACATCACGAGTGTGCATCAGTGCCGGGACCAAGCCACATCACGAGTGTGCATCAGTGCCGGGACCAAGCCACATCACGAGTGTGCATCAGTGCCGGGACCAAGCCACATCACGAGTGTGCATCAGTGCCGGGACCAAGCCACATCACGAGTGTGCATCAGTGCCGGGACCAAGCCACATCACGAGTGTGCATCAGTGCCGGGACCAAGCCACATCACGAGTGTGCATCAGTGCCGGGACCAAGCCACATCACGAGTGTGCATGAGTGCCGGGACCAAGCCACATCACGAGTGTGCATCAGTGCCGGGACCAAGCCACATCACGAGTGTGCATCAGTGCCGGGACCAAGCCACATCACGAGTGTGCATGAGTGCCGGGACCAAGCCACATCACGAGTGTGCATCAGTGCCGGGACCAAGCCACATCACGAGTGTGCATCAGTGCCGGGACCAAGCCACATCACGAGTGTGCATCAGTGCCGGGACCAAGCCACATCACGAGTGTGCATCAGTGCCGGGACCAAGCCACATCACGAGTGTGCATCAGTGCCGGGACCAAGCCACATCACGAGTGTGCATCAGTGCCGGGACCAAGCCACATCACGAGTGTGCATGAGTGCCGGGACCAAGCCACATCACGAGTGTGCATCAGTGCCGGGACCAAGCCACATCACGAGTGTGCATGAGTGCCGGGACCAAGCCACATCACGAGTGTGCATCAGTGCCGGGACCAAGCCACATCACGAGTGTGCATCAGTGCCGGGACCAAGCCACATCACGAGTGTGCATCAGTGCCGGGACCAAGCCACATCACGAGTGTGCATCAGTGCCGGGACCAAGCCACATCACGAGTGTGCATCAGTGCCGGGACCAAGCCACATCACGAGTGTGCATCAGTGCCGGGACCAAGCCACATCACGAGTGTGCATCAGTGCCGGGACCAAGCCACATCACGAGTGTGCATCAGTGCCGGGACCAAGCCACATCACGAGTGTGCATCAGTGCCGGGACCAAGCCACATCACGAGTGTGCATCAGTGCCGGGACCAAGCCACATCACGAGTGTGCATGAGTGCCGGGACCAAGCCACATCACGAGTGTGCATCAGTGCCGGGACCAAGCCACATCACGAGTGTGCATCAGTGCCGGGACCAAGCCACATCACGAGTGTGCATGAGTGCCGGGACCAAGCCACATCACGAGTGTGCATGAGTGCCGGGACCAAGCCACATCACGAGTGTGCATCAGTGCCGGGACCAAGCCACATCACGAGTGTGCATGAGTGCCGGGACCAAGCCACATCACGAGTGTGCATCAGTGCCGGGACCAAGCCACATCACGAGTGTGCATCAGTGCCGGGACCAAGCCACATCACGAGTGTGCATCAGTGCCGGGACCAAGCCACATCACGAGTGTGCATCAGTGCCGGGACCAAGCCACATCACGAGTGTGCATCAGTGCCGGGACCAAGCCACATCACGAGTGTGCATCAGTGCCGGGACCAAGCCACATCACGAGTGTGCATGAGTGCCGGGACCAAGCCACATCACGAGTGTGCATCAGTGCCGGGACCAAGCCACATCACGAGTGTGCATCAGTGCCGGGACCAAGCCACATCACGAGTGTGCATCAGTGCCGGGACCAAGCCACATCACGAGTGTGCATCAGTGCCGGGACCAAGCCACATCACGAGTGTGCATCAGTGCCGGGACCAAGCCACATCACGAGTGTGCATGAGTGCCGGGACCAAGCCACATCACGAGTGTGCATCAGTGCCGGGACCAAGCCACATCACGAGTGTGCATCAGTGCCGGGACCAAGCCACATCACGAGTGTGCATCAGTGCCGGGACCAAGCCACATCACGAGTGTGCATGAGTGCCAGGACCAAGCCACATCACGAGTGTGCATCAGTGCCGGGACCAAGCCACATCACGAGTGTGCATCAGTGCCGGGACCAAGCCACATCACGAGTGTGCATCAGTGCCGGGACCAAGCCACATCACGAGTGTGCATCAGTGCCGGGACCAAGCCACATCACGAGTGTGCATCAGTGCCGGGACCAAGCCACATCACGAGTGTGCATCAGTGCCGGGACCAAGCCACATCACGAGTGTGCATCAGTGCCGGGACCAAGCCACATCACGAGTGTGCATCAGTGCCGGGACCAAGCCACATCACGAGTGTGCATCAGTGCCGGGACCAAGCCACATCACGAGTGTGCATCAGTGCCGGGACCAAGCCACATCACGAGTGTGCATCAGTGCCGGGACCAAGCCACATCACGAGTGTGCATCAGTGCCGGGACCAAGCCACATCACGAGTGTGCATCAGTGCCGGGACCAAGCCACATCACGAGTGTGCATCAGTGCCGGGACCAAGCCTTACACAACTTCCTCTCCCCCTTCCCCTCACCCCTCCCTCAGTACAACGTGGCCCTGCCACCAGCGATTCTCTCTCGCTTCGATCTCGTGCATGTCATGCTGGACACGCCAGACCCAGTGCACGACTACTCAGTGGCCCGCCACATTCTAAGTGTGCACCAGAGCCGGGACCAAGCCTTGCAGCCGGAGTTCTCAACGCTGCAGCTGCAGAAGTACATCAAATTCGCGCGCTCCATCCGACCAGAGGTGTGTACGGGTGCTCTTGAAACGGTCACAGCAGCACGGATGTATCTTTGGTGTAGTTCAAGGTGTGCAATCTTGAAATGGTCGCAGAACGTATGTTCTTTTCGTGCTGTCCAAGTCATGTGCTCTTGAAAGAAATCTCCACCACCCTAACCCGCCCCATCACTTCCCAAAGGACGCCACGACCCGTCTAGTCGAAGCCTACGTGTCGCTGAGGCGGAAGCAATGCCGCCCCGGGGTCACAGTTGTCGTACTGAATCACGCACCCCTGTGTCTTGTCCATGCCCTCCCATGGTCGCATCGCATTGTATCGATGCCCTCTCCCCTCCATCAGATCACAGAGGAAGCCAAGACCCGTCTAGTGGAGGCCTATCCGTACTAGACGGGTCTACGACGGGGCGGGTCGCCGTCATACCGAATTGCACCGAATCACACCCTCCTGCTTCTTGTCCGCCTCCATCCCCATCTCCCCCCCTCCTCCCCCCCCTCCCACCCCCTTCCCCTTCCATCAGATCACAGAGGAAGCCAAGACCCATGTAGTGGAAGCCTACATGTCTCTGAGGCGAGGGGCTGTCATCCCCGTGGTCACAGTCATCATCCCGAATTATACACGCCTTCTTGTCTGCCTCCATCCCCACCACCCCCCCTCCCTCCCCCCTTTTCCCTCTCTCCCCACCCCTCGTTTCTTGTAATCAAATCATTGCGGAAGCCAAAACACGTCTAGTGGAAGCCTACGTGTCTCTGAGGAGAGGGGATGCCGCCCCGAGGTCACAGCCGTTGTACCGAATCACATCCTCCTGCTTCTTGTCAGCCTCCATTCCCCATCCCCCCTCGAATGGTCGTTGTATTCCCCACCCCTTCCTTCTCTTCCCGTACAATCAGATTACAGAGGAGGCCAAGACACGTCTAGTCGAAGCCTACGTGTCACTGAGGAGAGGGGATGCTGCCCCGGGGTCGCAGTCGTCGTATCGAATCACGGTGCGACAGCTGGAGGCTCTCGTGCGGCTGTCAGAGGCGCTGGCTCGCCTGCACTTGGACTCACAGGTGTGGGGTGCGGTGGGGATGGGTGGGGTGGGGATGGGTGAAGCAGGGGGGATGGGTGAAGCAGGGGGGTTGGGTGAAAGTGTTTGGGGGTGGGTGAAGCAATGTGGGTGGGAACAGCTGGTGGGTACTGGTGCCTGCAGTGCAGTGTGGTGTGACACCTGGAGGCCTTAGTGAGTCTGTCAGAGGCGCTGGCTCGCCTGCACTTGGACTCACAGGTGTGTGGAGCTGTAGGGATGGGTGGGAATGGGTGAAGCAGTGGGTGAAAATGTACGGTGATGGGTGAAACCATGTGAGTGTAGCTAGCTGCAATGCATGGGGTCTGGTGCAACAGCTGGAGGCATTAGTGAGGCTGTCAGAGGCGCTGGCTCGCCTGCACCTGGACTGACAGGTGGGTGAAGCGGTGGGGATGGGTGGTTGATAGTTATTGATGGATTCAGTGCGTTGTGGCTGGGGTGAGCGCTTGAGTGCGTGACCAAGAGGCCCTGGTTTGCCTGCACCTGGACTCACAGGTGGGTGTGCTTGTGTGGCGATTTGGTGCGGCGGTGTGGGTGGGGATGGGATAAGCGGTGCATGGGGTTGGGTGATTAACTGATGGGTGAATCTCCAGCTGTCATTCTCATGCCTCCACATCCAACCATCCCTTCTCCCGTCCCATTTTTTCCCATTTTGTCTGATTCCACTCCTGTCCCCCATGTGCTCCCCGACCAATCAGGTGAAGCCAGCTCATGTGCGCGAAGCCAAGAGGCTGCTGAGCACGTCCATCATCAGGTGTGTGTGTGGCGGATGACAGCTGTAAACTTGCTAAGATTATGTGCCATCCATGCCGCGTTCTCCCGTGTAATCCTGGCGTGTCGATGCACCTTTCTTCCATGTGACTCTCAGCTACTCCTTCTGGCAGCAATTTCCCCTGTTGGCTCCCGCTGACCTGTGTTCACTCCTGTGTCCACCTCCGTGACTCCCGCTGACCTGTGTTCACTCCTGTGTCCACCTCCGTGACTCCCGTTGACCCCTGTTGACTGCCACATCAGCATTGACAGCCATGACGTGGACCTGGAGGATGAGGGGGCGAGTGGGGAGGGGGAGGAGGGGATGGAAGATATGCCATTCATGATGGGGGGGGACGATGGGGGCGATGGGGGAGGGGGAGGCGGAGGGGGAGGGGGAGGCAGTGGTGGGGATGATCGTGGTGGTGTGGGCGGAGGGGGAGGGAGAGCAGAGGCATCAGGAGGTAGGGAAGATATGGAGACAGATGGGGGGGCGAATGGGACTACAGAAACTGAGGGAGGAGGAATAGGAGGAGGGGGAGGGGGATCAGATCAGCAAACACAACCGGGAGCAGGTAATGCAGCAAGAAAAGGCAAGGAGAAGAAACAAGGAGCAGCAGCAGCAGCGGAAGACAAAGCGACGGAAAGTGACGCAGCGGACGGGGGTGAAGACAAAGAAGCCAGCCAGAAGAAGACAAAGGCCGCCGCCCCTCTGCGCGTGCCGTACGACAAGCTGCAGCGAGTGACGGCGCTCCTGGTGACCTACATAAGACAAAAAGAGGCGGAGGAAGCTTCCGAGGAAGCTTCACTGGCAGGGTCAGAAGCGGCCGGTACAGGCGAGGGTGGGGAGGAGGGGGAGAGGGGAAGGGATGGAGGGGGAGAAGGAGGGGAGGAGGACGGGGGAAAGAGGAAGAGGAGGCGAGTCGGGGGGGTGCAAGGGGGTATGGGGGGCGGGGGGGTGAAGCAAGGGGATGTGATGCGATGGTATATGGAGCAGCAGAGCCAGGCAGGGACAGTGGACTCGGTTGGAAATTTGCTGCAGGAGTTCAGAGTGCTTCGATCCATCATCCAGGTGAGGCAGGCCCCTTCGTTTCTTTTTACAGGCAGCATCACCATTTTCCGTTAGATGGTGATTCTGCCTGGTTTGTGTAATCTATCTGATTCTATTTCTGCCGTTTTCATCTGCTGTTTTCATCTGCTGTTTTCATCTTTCTTTCTGTGCCGTTTCTGTGTGGACCAATTTTGCCTGGGCCGTTTCTTTCGATGCCGTATCCATCTCTGATGATTCGCAGCACTTGATTCGTCGAGAGGGGGTGCTGTTGATTCTAGACGATGGGACTACAGCCGTGGAAGCTGCCAGGAAGGAGCGGGAGGATGCAATTGCTGCTGCAGAAGCAGCAGGTGAACCTCTTCCGACATTCGACAAGCCTCTGCCCACGGCTCTGGAGGAACGGGTTCTAGCCGTGAACCCCAACTATGTCCAAGAATAAGCAACTTTGGGAGCACTGGAAAAACGCTCAAGGCATTCTGAATTAAGTCTCTGGTCAAAGCACGACCTGGTTATCAACATTGAGTTGGGAGGGCAACTCACTAAGGTAGACTATGTAATGGTAATATCCAATACTAAAACAGGACGGCAGGGATTGGTTTTAGGTAAAAAAATTATCTAGTGGTTAGCAGGAAATATAAACGCATGCGTTGCTTTTTTTGTTGACTCTGATGGCGTCAGTTCCCCGCCCCTTGCACTTGATAACATTGTTGTCACTGACTAGTTGTATTATCAAACAGTGATGTACACTAAATGATACACATGTTCAGCTACAAAGCTTAGGTGCGACAAACGCGTACAATGTTGTCCTTTTAATTTGCTCGCCTAAGGGCGTGTAAAATTGTAACGCCCAAACCAAATGATCGATCATATGCGCGTTTCAGGCGAGTGTGAAACGTGTAACGCTTAAGCGAACCCCGCCACAAATTTCGTCAGCATTTTGATCCCTTCACTGTATTTGAACGGGATAGGAAATAACGAGGAATCTGACGAATATTTAGGGCGCTCAACAAAGCAAAAGGTTTAGATATAAAATAGTTTTCTTCCCGCTGAGAATCAGTTTAGGTATGTCCCACAATGCGGTGCGTAAGTTTCGAGGCAGAAAATACCGTTAAATTTTGGTCAAATCGGGGTGACTAATCGAATCGGCGTAACCCTAATACCTCGCAATCGCCAGAAACGCGCAAATGTTCGACCATTGCCTTTGGTCGTTACATTTTACATGCCCTAAATCGCCCCTTCTCCCCCCTGTCCCGCCTCGTTACTCGCCGCCGTGCTCTGAACCTGCGACGCTGGCGACCCTTTCTCCACGCCTCCCGTCGTCGTCGCGGTGAAGCTTTGGAGCGCCGCGGCGTCTCCCCCCGTCACTTTAGACGGCGCAGCCGCCGCTCTCTGCGCCGCAGCAGAGGCGGAGCCCTTCGACACCGTTCCGCCGCCCATCTTCGCGGAAGAACTCTGGATCTGAGAAGCAGTCTTGCCGGAAATCGGGGCGCTCTTACCGCTCCCGCCTCCGCCGCCTTTGCCCTTCCGAGCGTTGGAAGATCCATGATAGGCCGCGATTCGGACGAAACGCCCGTACGTGAAACTTGAGCGTCGAACGGTTGCCATCAGGGTCGTCATATTAGGAAGGTCGAGAGTGGTACTCACTCGATTTGTGGAGCACAAAATTTAACCAGGTCTACCCCAGGGGAAAGAAATGAATGATAGTCGAGTATCTTTACAAGGTGTCGATATGCGACGCAAATCGTTTCGTAGCTTGAGGGGCTTCACTTGAGCCGACTGTCGCCCGAAGGCGACTCGCTGAACAAATACTGCGCTCGGATCGCACCTGCACTCTACGCGTGAACAAGCCGTGCTCTTGATGTGAAGGGCCTTTGAGTTCGCTATTATCATTTTTCGCGCGATGGGTGCTGCTGGTACTCTACGCCGCACATGCCGCCTATCGTGCGGCAGGCGATTTCCTGCATGCTGCAATCTGGTAGAGATGTTAGCTTTCGTGTAGCATTCTTTCTTACTAGTTGATTCGCCAGCATGTAAGATGAGGGTGTATGTAATCTGCATGCATATCTGCTGTCAGTAGGTCCATCAGTGACTAATTTCTTATCCTTCATAATGTTGAATCCCAATAGCCGTGAACACAGCACCATCGTTAATCACAATTATACCGTAAATACAAAATATTCACACATCTCACTCACTGTACACAATATCTACACCACCAGCCACACCAGAAAAGTGGCCCATATTGAGCACGCTGTCAGAATTGCTCGCCCTTCCAACGCGCCCAGTTGGACGTTGTTCGTCGTTTTTGCTGTTCCTCCAACTTGCCATTCGCCGCAGCCTGGCTCTGAGCCTCCGACGCGAGCGACCCTTTCTCCACTCCGCCGAAAGTCGTCGCCGTGAAGCTCTAGAGTGCCGCCGCGTTCTGCGACGTCACCTTCGACGGCGCGTCCGCTGCTCTCTGCGCCGCAGCCGCCAGTGAGCCCTTCCCCGCTGCGCCCTGGCGCGCAGCGAGGCTCTGGATTTGAACGACAGACTGCTGGGAGAGTCCGCCGCTCTTCCCGCCGCCGCCGCCGCCCTTGCCGCCACCGCCGCCGGCCTTGCCTCTGCCTCCTCCGCCTCCCCCCTCACGCCCCTTGCAGACCGGAGTGAGGCGGTAGCTAGAGACCGGAGCCGGAATTCGAAGAATGGCCGCCATGGCAGGTCCAAGAGGCAAGCTGGTGAACGAAGAAAGGTACCAGCTACAACTAAGATCACATTCCTGGCCCGGACACCATCCGAAGTTTGGCCACGCAGTCCGTAATTTTGAAAATGTACATTTGAATGTTGCCCCACATAATCCAAAGTCTGGACACTCTGGTTTCAGTCGGCCACCGAACGTGCGACCAACGTGCACGTCAAGTACTGAACTGTGCAATTTTCCATCAAACCAATGATTTCGTTACACATCATTGTCAAGCTATGTTTTGTATGCTCTAGGCTGTAGTGGGGCATACTCTAGTGAGTACAGCCCCTTAGGTTTTCCTACTTGTACTCCCATCCTACTCAATGCACACATCACTTCTTAACATAGTATCAGAGCAGGTCCCAGTTAGGACCGATTTTTTTGGGCCCACCGTATTCGTTCCGCTCTGCCCGACAGTCACTTTTTTTCCTGCCCGACCCGTTGTTTCTGCCCTGCCCAGCACGCCGTCGCGCTGCTGCCCTGCCCTGTCCGCGCGCTACCGTGCTGCCTAGTGCGCCCTCCCGTTTGCTGCTCGCGCTGCCCACCTGCTGCTCGCGCCGCCCGCCTGCTGCCCGCACGCTGCCCGTGCGCTGCCCAGCGCGCCAGCGCGCCCCGCTGCCCAGCGCGCCAGCGCGCCCTGCTGCCCAACGACCCGTGCCCTGCCCTGCTCGCGCTGTCCGCGCCTTCCCTGCACGCGCGCAAGTGCCGCCTGCTGCTGCCACCCTAGATGCTGCTGCCCTAGGAGCTACCACCTGCTGCTGCCCTAGGTGCTGCCGCCTGCTGCTGCCGCCCTAGGTGCTGCCTCCCTAGGTGCTACCGCCTACTGCTGCCGCCATAGGTGCTGCCTCCTGCTGCTGCCGCCCTAGGTGCTACCACCTGCTGCTGCACACCCTCCTGCCCTACGTGCTCGCGCTACCTGCGCCCTCCTGCCCTGCCCTGCGCGCACCGCCAACTGCCGCTGCCGCCCTTGGCTACCGCTACTGCTCCTACCACTGCTGCCACTGCACCTACTGTTCTAGCTACCGCCACTGCAGTCGCTACTTCAGCCCTTGCACCGCTGCTGCTGACTGACACTGCCTACCATGGCCACTATCACTGTTCTACGTCAGCGGCAGCCGAGTGTGCAGGAGTCTCTCTCGCCGCAGCACCTTCGCGTGTGGGCTATCTGGTGGGGCAGCCCTGGTGGCGGAGATAGCCGTGCTCGTCGGCGGAAGCCGCTTTCGCCACAGCAGCGTCGTGAGTGGGCTGTCCGGTGGGGCAGCCCCAGTGGCGGAGCCTGGGGTGCTACTACTAGAGGTACCTGTGAGTCTACTCCTGCTGGTAGTGCCACTGGTAGATGCGGAGGTTCTGGGGGTGGACAGTAGCAGCAGCAGCGTCCGCCGGAGACTCTCTCCCCGCAGCAGCTTCGTGAGTGGGTTGTCTGGTGGGGCAGCCCCGGTGGCGGAGGGTTTCGGAGTACTCGTATTGGGGGTGTAGAGGCACCTGGAGCTGTAGATGCTGCTAGTCTTGGTGCTTTTGACTCACCTAGCACAGGTGCAGAGAATGAGGAGGCCTTGCACACTTTTACTCTCGACTCAGGCGCATCTCGTTGCTTCTTCCGCGACAGCACCACAGTCACACCGCTCACAGTCCCTGTCCCTGTCACACTGGCCGACCCCTCCGAAGGCCCGGTAGTCGCGTGTAGCGCTACTGTTCTCCCTTGTCCGGCGGCCCCTTCCGGCCTCCTCACAGGTCTCCACCTCCCCTCGTTCGCTAAGAACTTGGTGGTTACCTCTGTCCTCCAGGACCAGTGGGTCACTGTCACCCAGCCTGGAGGCGAGCTAGTGGCGATATGTACGGACTTGCGCACTGGTGAGCACCTTGCCACGTTCACTCGGAGGCCTGGGTCTTGCCTGTACACACTGACCACAGAGTCTGCACTGGTAGCTGAGTCAGGTCAGATAGCTGCGTCGGCTGAGGTCGCAGCATCTTGTTCGTGTCGTCTCCTGACGCACCAGACTCTCCTCTGGCACCACCGTCTTGTCCACCCCTCCTTGCCACGCCTGCGTGGCATGCACTCCCGTCTCCTTGTCTCTGGTCTCCCCAGGTTCCTGCCCCCACTTCCGAGGTCGCTTGCACCCCTCCTTGCCACTTCCCTGCGTCGAGGGGCGGCAGCGCGCCGCTCCTCAATCCTCCTCGTTTCCTCCTACCACTGCTCCTCTGCAAACCCTGCACATGGACGTGTGGGGCCCCACCCGCGTCACTGGACAGGGTGACGAGCGATACTTTCTGCTGGTTTTAGACGACTACACGCGCTACACCACGGTCTTCCCCTTGCATAGCAAGGCGGATGTCCGCGGTGTCTCGATCTGCTGGATCTGCGCTGTCTGTCTCCAGCTTCGCACTCGGTTCTGTGAGGACCTCCCAGTCCTGCGGCTGCACTCTGACCGAGGTGGTGAGTTTTGCACCCACCTCCTCGAGGACTTCTGTGGTGCTGACGGCATCCTCTAGTCGTACACGCTTCCGGTCTCTCCACAGCAGAATGGGATTGCCGAGCGCCACATTGGTCTAGTCATGGAGGTTGCTCGCACCTCCATGATCCATGCGGCTGCTCCCCATTTTCTGTGGCCGTTTGCGGTCCGATACACCACTGAGAAGCTCAGCCTCTGGCCCCGTGTCTCCCACCCAGAGACCTCCCCCACTTTGCAGTGGACGGGCGAGGTTGGTGATGCGTCGGC